CCCTTATTTATGCTACTAATCGACCTCAACCCCATTTTATGCCCCTAAACCCCCCCCCCCCGTCTCCCTCTTGTCCTGTGTCTAGTGAGAGGCGATTGAAACCGCTTTATCTTCATAGGAAAGGTCCCAGATACCAGGTATCAGCCCTGTCATCCTTTCTGCTTTCTCTTTGAGTATTTCCATTGTGCAGTACGGTGGCCAACCTCGTACAGATTGATCAATGCCCAACTGGTTCGACTAGACCACTAACCAAAAGGCCAGGTCAGAGACCGGGCCGCGGGGGTCATTGATTCTCGGAACTAATTCAAGATATCCTCAAGGTGTAGGATGATGGTGTAGGTCTTTATTAATTTCTTTATTCTGTATTTAATGGGTGCTAATAGACCCTCATTATCCCAAGGATAAGGATAGCCTAGCCCCCATTCTCCCCAAGCATAAGGATAGCCTAGCCCCCATTCTCCCCAAGCATAAGGATAGCCTAGCCCCCATTCTCCCCAAGCATAAGGATAGCCTAGCCCCCATTCTCCCAAGCATAAGGATAGCCTAGCCCCCATTCTCCCAAGCATAAGGATAGCCTAGCCCCCATTCTCCCAAGGATAAGGATAGCCTAGCCCCTCAATCTCCCAAGCATAAAGATAGCCTAGCCCCCATTATCCCTAGCATAAGGATAGCCTAGCCCCCAGTCTCCCAAGCATAAAGATAGCCTAGCCCCCATTCTCCCAAGCATAAGGATAGCCTAGCCCCCAGTCTCCCAAGCATTAGGATAGCCTAGCCTCTCAATCTTACAGGCACGATTCTAGTACGTATCCTCTCTAGATTAGCGTAGAGAAGGCAGAGTGGAAATGATAATGTTGACAAGGGAACACGAAACGCAATTCTGTTACCCCTTAATCAAATTATAAAAATAACTTGCTTTTCAACTTCACGATTTGTAGAAAAACGTAAAAAAATAGAAAAGATTCGTTTTAGAATCATTGATCTGACCCGTTTTGTCCTATTTAGTACTATATATGTTATGTTACGTATATATTATATACATATAAATATATCATTTGAATGTAAGAGGCATTTTAGGGGAGTGAGACTGGCAGGGGGTTCACCTATCGTGGGCCCCTCATAACCCCATCATCACAGTTCAGGATGTGTTGTACACCCCAATGGGTTGTAAGGGGTTGCCCACACTAGCTCCCAGCCCCTGTGGGGCCCCCACACTACACTGGGGCGGGGAACCGGTTTGCTGCCTGTTATTGGTGGCTCTGGAAGAGAGGGTGAAGAGCACCCCAGAGAAAAGATATCAGTGCAGAGGGAGCACGTACGTTAGTTGGACTTTTGGGGAGGTTTAAGACTTGAGGCCATGCTTAAGAGGTTTGTTTTTGATCAGGGAATGTCGAGATGTGGCAGTCGGTGTTTGAGACCTCGTCTGGCTCTTCGTGTGGGGGTGCGTGTCCAAGATACAGCACGCATTTCCTCTCTGGACCGCGACACTCAGGCGCTGGAACAGGAAACTGGCCGCTATTGAGTCTCTAGTTTGCCTAATGAGTTCCTCACCCACCTCCTTTAAGAACTTAAGGCGGCTAATAATAGAATACCGGCTAATAATACAATATTGTATTATGATTGTGAGGTCATGGGAGCAAGAACGGCTTCACCCCCACACACTTCTGCGAACATAAATGAAGATTCATTACTATTTCTTTCACTAAGAGATCGATACGTACCAGATTTATGAACGTGCGTCGATATGACGTTGATGATACGATATGACGTTGATAGTACGATGATATCAATGTTGGTCTGACATTGGTGCAAGGCTTTTGCAACATCATGGTTTACCTGTTGGGTAGTGTTGCTTAGGTGACCTCGTTGGCTGAGTGGGCTCGTGTTCAGTTGTTGGTCCTCATCAACTCTACTGCTGCTGCTCCCTGTTGAATGATCAATTCGTCACGATAATTATGCATGTAGACAATACAAGACTGTCCTTACCGCCAGCTTAATGACCTCACAGCATAGTCATGTTGTTGACGTACATAGCATAGTCATGCTGCCTCTAGTGTTGAGTTTTGCTCCCAAGGCAGCAGCTGCAGAGGTTGAATCATTAGCACAAATGCTATCAGTAAACCTGGTGCATTTAACAACAAATAATTATGATAATATATTGGGATTGAACTCTTGTCTCTGGATTGACCAGACACACGCACCACCCACCGTACCACCATGAGCTAAAATAAGTTCAACTAGATTTACTAGGAGTTTAGACGGCCACAGCTGGTACATCAATACTAATCACCTGACGATACCTGGGGGTAGGCTATGAGCTTCAGGTAAATACCTGCGTTAGGCCTACCTGCCGTATGGGCCTATAAGATGGTAATATTGGGTGTTACTAGGGGGGTGTTTTAACACACTGTTGGGGGGTGGGTGGGTGTGGGTGGTGGTGGGGAAGACAGCCGGGGCTGAGAGGAGCGTCAGGGCCCAACATGCTCTCGCATGTACCAACTTGCGCCTGCCTGTAGGCGTCTCCTCCCCCCACATAATACCCGGAGAGGCTTTCGGGAGCTCTTCAACACGCCAAGCCTGGCCTCGGGCCGGGGTTGGGGACGTAGAACAACTCCCAGAACCCCATCAAGCAGGTATCAACCAGGTATCAACCATCAAGCAGGTATCAACCAGGTATCAACCATCAAGCAGGTATCAACGCCGCTCCTTAACACATTTCCTCTGTACCAAAGATAAATGACAAACACACAGCAGAAGTCAGCAGTATATAAAGCTGTGAAGAGTTTAGAGCAGGACTCTATGACTTGCACTAGATAGAGTCACTTTCTAATTGCCAGAACTACTCTTGGAGTTGTTACTTGTGGCAGGCAACTGCAACAATTCACTTACTTAGAGTGTGTACATCTCATTAGCTCTTCAAATTATCTGATCCTAATTTTCTGATAGAGATTGTTAGGCTTTTCGCTCTAATAGTCCGGTCTAATTACCTAAAGCCACAACATTGACGCTCGGATCGTCGACTTCCTATGGCATCACCTGCCACCAAATTTCGTCTAAGTAAAAATATGTTTTTTTTTTCATCAAGCATCAAAATGTCACTCAGTTTACAAAAAAAAATGTACTCACCTAGTTGTGCTTGCGGGGGTTGAGCTCTGGCTCTTTGGTCCCGCCTCAATGTGTTTGGTTTAAGGTGCTTGACAACAATGTTCTTCGTTGTAATTGTGACTGTCCAGTGGCCTCCAGTTTTGTAACTGTTGATTCTTATTCACTCATAGGGTATAATAGGTTATCCTCATAGTATACCTGAAGTCTGCTGGGGTATGCTAGACACTAGCATACTCTCTCTCTCTCTCTCTCAAGACAGAGGGGGTGGGTATAAACAGGACCTTCCTAGTATGGGTCAACAAAGGGGTGGGTATAAACAGGACCTTCCTAGTATGGGTCAACAAAGGGGTGAGTATTGACAGGACCTTCCTAGTATGGGTCAACAAAGGGGTGGGTATAAACAGGACCTTCCCAGTATGGGTCAACAAAGGGGTGGGTATAAACAGGACCTTCCTAGTATGGGTCCACAGATGGGTGGGTCTACACAGGACCCTCCATGTGAGGAATGAGTGGGAGGTGGATTTGAACGGAACCTTCCTAGGAAGTTGCTGTTATGTAAGATGATATTCTGTAAGCTTTGCTAGATCTATAGTGTGTAACACGACTCTCTCTCTCACTCTCTTACTCTCTCTCTCTCTCTCACTCTCTATGTCTCTCTCTCTCTCTCACTCTCTATGTCTCTCTCTCTCTCTCACTCTCTTACTCTCTCTCTCTCTCTCTCTCTCTCTCTCTCTTCTCTCTCTCTCTCTCTCTCTCTCTCTCTCTCTCTCTCTCTCTCTCTCTCTCTCTCTCTCTCCTCTCTCACTCTCTCTCTCTCTCTCTCTCTCTCTCTCTCTCTCTCTCTCTCTCTCTCTCTCTCTCTCTCTCTCTCTCTCTCTCTCTCTCTCTCCTCTCTCTCTCTCTCTCTCTCTCTCTCCATAGAAGCAGACCTTCACCTTATGCTTGGGGTGACTATGGAGTATCTTCTGGTAGAGTTCTTCCATGTAAACGACAAGACAGGCAAGGAACAACATGCAGATGGTTGACCTAGACTGCTTGCTACTAGTTATTTTTAGAGATGTCTCAACACCACTGCCCACACCCTGTGTGTGTGTGTGCGTGTACGTGTTTAGATCTTCTATGTTGTGACCATGTCTCGTTTGCTGTGGTCAGCTGGGTAACAAGTGGGTACTCAGCTCTCGGGTCTCCGCTTCTCACTCATCAGTCAACTGGTATGGACCATGGGGAAGAGCCCTTCATGGTCGGCTATGGCGGTCATCTGTAAGTTTTGCAAGCTAAGATTTTTTTCTGATGGGTTTTTAATTGTATTTAATTATGTTTATTGAGTATTGTGTGCGTGGTGGCACGTGGTCACCTGTTAGTGGAACCTAGTTCAAGGTGAGTTATTGGGAGAGTTCCCACACCCACCTGCGTCTCCACACCCACTTATCACCCACCCACCTACCTGTCACCCACCCACCTACCTGTCACCCACCCACCTACCTGTCACCCACCCACCTACCTGTCACCCACCCACCTACCTGTCACCCCCCACCTCTCTGTCACCCACCCACTTTTCACCCACCCACCTGTCCCCCCTCCACCCACCTGTCACCCTCACCCACCTGTCACCCCCACCCACCTGTCCCCCCCTCCACCCACCTGTCACCCTCACCCACCTGTCACCCCCACCCACCTGTCCCCCCCTCCACCACCTGTCACCCCCACCCCCCTGTCCCCCCCTCCACCCACCTGTCACCTCACCCACCTGTCACCCCCCACCCACCTGTCACCCTCCACCCACCTGTCACCCCCACCCACCTGTCCTCCCTCCACCCACCTGTCCCCGCCCCCCACCCACCTGCCACCCACCTGTGACACGATGACTGATGACCTTTGTCTCCCCCCCCCCATGCCAGGTGTGTCAAGAGGAGCGGCAGGAGGAGGAGGTGTTCACACTCGCTATGAACATGATGGACCGGTTCCTCTCCCTGGTGAAGGTGCGGCGGGATCAGCTCCAGCTCCTGGGCACCGTCTGCCTCTTCCTCTCCTCTAAGATCAAGGAGTCTCCGCCACTCGACCCCAGACTACTCGTCCAGTACACCGACAACTCCGTCACCCTCGAGGAGATTAGGGTGAGTGTCACGCTTCTTAGTCGTCCTTGAGGTGTGGGTGAGTGTCACGCTTGTAGGTCGCCCTTGAGGACGTCAGTGTGAGTGTCATGCTTGTAGGTCGCCCTTGAGGACGTCAGTATGAGTGTCATGCTTGTAGGTCGCCCTTGAGGACGTCAGTGTGAGTGTCATGCTTGTAGGTCGCCCTTGAGGACGTCAGTGTGAGTGTCATGCTTGTAGGTCGCCCTTGAAGAAGGTCAGTGTGAGTGTCACGCTTGTAGGTCGCCCTTGAGGACGTCAGTGTGAGTGTCACGCTTGTAGGTCGCCCTTGAGGACGTCAGTGTGAGTGTCACGCTTGTAGGTCGCCCTTGAGGACGTCAGTGTGAGTGTCATGCTTGTAGGTCG